ATTTTCTAGAAGAATTTACATGGCAGGGTGAGAAGGCATAGAGAGAACCATATCTCTCCTTGTCCCCATAGGTGCTGGGACTGGGGGTGCTGCTGCACCCTTGCCTTGAAGTGGATTCCATTATATATAGGGTTTACAGTTGGGTTCAATGGCTCTCAGCACTCCTACCATAAAAATAGTTCCAGCACCCATGCTTCTTCTGGAGCTACTCCTTTGTCCTGACAGAGGAATTATCTCCCTAAAATGCTGCTGTGAGGGGTCTGAGTTCAGGGCCTGACCAAGAGATGGAAATAGTTAGCATGGTTCTCAAAGGGAAACTTCCCCGGCCCTTCCATCCAGTTGACTTAGGGCTGATGGTGACAGAGCCCCTAATGAAACTAACAGCCTGTGAATCCCAAACACACAGTGAAATAAGACTTCAGGCAATGAAGAGTTGGTGACCTGGGAAATTGGTGCCACAGGAGGGTTATCAAGGCACTCTGTGGCTGGATAACTTTCTGATCACTAAAAACATTTGTAGCTATTTCATATTAAGGAAGTATCTGATTTCCTGCTTCAGAGCATCAGCAGATTCCTGTGGGCTCATCAGGCAGTTCCCCTTCTCTGTGCAAAGCATTGCGCTGTTAACTAGGTACACTACGGAAGGCCTGTACCTTCCTGTGAATCACTGGAATCCTCTGACCAAGGCACCAGACTGAACAATCCTGGAACCCTATTTGTTTGGGTCGGGTCACTCAGAAAGAGACCTTGTTTCAGGTCCTTGCTGCTACCCATAACATCCTAGCTGAGACAGAGTCAGATTTGTAACACTAAAGATTCCCTTGCATTCCTGATGCCTTTATTCCAGTCAGCCACATGTAATCAGTTTCCTGTGTTTCCCCTTAAAATAAGACTCTTTGTGCTACAGAGGGAGAGAAGGGCTCAGGCCCAAACCTCCTATCCTGTTCTTTGACTATTAAATATGCCATGGTGCTCTGTGCAGGAGTTAGGGATGGGGATTAGCCCAGATATCCTGGCCAAATTCTGTTTTGCACTACGATGGCGCCGTCCGTATAACAGACAGGTCGGGGATCAGAAGGCAAAGGTGAAAAGATCCATATCAAGGGACTCCACTTCCCACCCACAGCACCCACTCTTGGAGGGCCAGGATTATCCTGGGGCATCATTCTAAATTCAGAGAGACAGCAGTTTCTCTTTTGATAATTATATGGTGCTTGCTAGGATTGTATACAGTCTAATCAAGCTCCTAACCACACATGACCCCCAGTCCTAGCCACAACACAGGCAGGCATATCAGAGCTGCTCTAGTCACGAGAGGGGGCTCTTGAGCATGTTGGTGTGTCATTTTCTCCTCCATAACAGCAAGAGGTGTGTGCCTTACTTCGCTCCCACAGGAACAAAAGAGACTTAAAATCTGCATAGACCAAAAACAAAAAAAAGTTAATGTGAGTTTAACTGACTTCTGCCCTGAAATTATAGCCATTCTAATCCATTGGGGCTCTGAGTTTACATTCTTTGATGCACAGTGTGTAATTATATATGTATAATTTACACTGTGCATACACACATGTTCCTATCACGCATCTCAAGGAGTAAGGGGAATTATCCACTGGGGGCAGAGGAGGCGATGAAGGGCCCATAAGCCTTAAGGATGAGGTGTGGGTGATGAAGGGCCTGGTTCAGGATTGCTTCCTTACCATGGGAAACATTGTCTTTTTAAGTGGCCCTGACGTTGCTGTGTGCTGTTAAACAGCCACTTTCTTTTCTGCGCTCAGAGATGAGTGTGTTCAAGTGGTCTGTAAAGTAATTTCTGTGTGTACTGTACTTTATTGGTATGAAATGGTTGCAAAACAAAAAATAACCAGCAAAGCTTTATTCCTGGCAATAAAAAAGTCTCCCAGATACTTTTATTTATGATTTGCACTATGGTAGTGCCTGTAGAAACCAACCGTAATTGGGGCCTTATTGTGCTAGACACTGAAGAGATATATAGTAAGATACAGTCCCTGTCCCAAAGAACTTGCATCTAGATAGGCAAAACAGATAAAGGGTGGAGAAAGGAGGTGGTATTGTCCTTGTTTTACAGATGGGGAATTGAGGTACAGCAAGATCAAGGAACTTGCCAGGGTGTCTCAGCCTATGTGGCAGAGCCTGAGTTCTGAACCCAGATCTTCTCCATCTCAGTCCTGTGCTTAACTGAAAGACCACCCTTCCTGACTGTGTGCTGAATTGTTTATGGTTCATGTAACCCTTCTGCCCGTCAGAGTTGGCAGCAACAAGAGCCGGGTTCAGTATCTAGGGGTTCCTTTTCAATAACCCAATAAAATCTGGCTCGAGCCTCCACCCAGTGACCTGGGACAATTATATACCACCACCCCCGGGCGCCTCTAAGAGGCAATACTTCCCCTCTCGCAAGCACATTGTCTGAGCGTAGCAAAAGCCTTTTAATAAAAGAGGGAAACAATGCAGCATTATGTTGGGGAAACACCACAAACAGGATTCATAACAGAAACCATGAGCAAAAGACCCACCCCAAGTAAGTTTGGCAGTGTCCTTTTCCCCTCAGAGTCTTAAGTTCAGCAACCCAACAGTCACCCCACCCACAGTTTCTATCCTTTGGTCAGTGCAACCCCAGAGTTCAGAAGTTCATCTGCAGAGTTTACCTCCCAGCGTGGGTGGAAGGTATGGGGGCACCTTACATAGTTGGCTGCTCAGATTGATTGCAACGCCTCTCTGTGGGTTCTGCTACAGTCTTTCACCACTAGCCACCCAGCTGGCTGCACCTCTTCGCTAGCCACTCACCAATATATCTTCAGGCCCCCAAACACAGCTCTCGGTGATTTCAGCTCTTGGTGAGTGGAGCCTCAGTGCTGGTGCACCTGGACAGTCCTCTTGATCAAAACCACCAGCCCAGGGATTTCAGCTCTGCAGCCTGTAACAAGATTCTTAATGGAGACAAAATTAGCTCTGTTATTACACAGTGGAGAGAGAAGGGGTCAAATTGATGTTTAGGGCCTTCAGAAGGGGCCCCCACTTCTATGTACAAATACTTGTTCTGAATCTCTCTCCTTTTCAGTGGGCTTTGGAATCCATGTCCCTTGCCTAGGAAGTGCTGCTTAGTTGAGGGTGAGTCCCTCAGTCATAAAATGCCAAGTACAGTTCTTCTGTCCTTGATTCACATAACCAAGATAACAACACTTTGTTACTCCTGCCCCAATAATAAAGAGACTGGGGATCCCACAGCAGCCAAAGTGACTATTTGGGCAAGCCGTCCCATCATGCTAGGCAAGGTGGGTGTGCCCATGCAAATGAGATCAGCCCCTGAAGTTCTTTTCCACAGCTCACCACCAGGGGCGAGCTCATTCTGACTCTGCTTACACTTCATGTGTGGAGTGGCTCCCCCAATCCTCCTTAAAAAAAAAAAAAAAAAATTTAAAGGAAAAACTTGGTGTAAGAATAGCATCTACTGTGACATGCTCTCAGGTAAACATTTTCAGGGCTGTAAGTCCTCAGGCTTCAGAGCATAAACTCAGCAGCAGCTGGGGGCAGGAAGAAATCTCCCCTCAGCCTTTTAATCTGGGTGGGAAGAGGTGAGCGAGTGTGAGTGAGAACTGTCTCCTTCCTCTGCAGCGTCTCCTTGAAGCCATGCTGCACAGATGGACCAGTCTTCTCGAGTGATGCGAGGAGGAGGAGGGATAATCAAGTTATAGACAGACCACTGGTCTGTGCTGCTGTAGCAGCCCATATTCCAGACATCATCTGAGCTCAGCAAGTGCTGCACTGTGCCTCTTGGAGGAGAAGCTGCTATGGGGCTGGAGCAGGGGAATGGGTCAGAAGGAGACACCGTAATAAGGAGGGGAGAGATGCCTGCAGACCCTATTCAATAAGACGGCTGGGGTCTGTCCATCAGCTGCCACAGCTTTTCTGAGCCGTGGCAGCCCTTTAAGTGTTAGGCTAGTCCCCAGGCTGCTCAGAAAGCCATTAACCAGCCTTAAGAGGGGGAGAGCAACAGGTTGGTGAAAAGAACATTTCATGTTTTGTCCTCATGGGGTTAACAAGCTCCCTATTAAGGGGAGACAAAGTGATGGAGAGAATCTCTCTGGTTTATAGCTTGGAAAGTTCAGCTTCCAGAGCATTCCTCTCTTCCAGTGCCCTGGCTGCCTCTCTGTAGCTTTTATCCCCATTGTGCTGTGGCTGTGGAGTGGGAGCCTTGGCCTTTGTCAGATTCGGTCTCTCTTTTTTCCTTGGAGTACAATCTAATTAGCAGCTCAGCAACCAGTTCAAGCAGCAGGATAACTATTTTAATGGGCTGGAGGTTTGAGTGAATGGAACTGGGGGGCGGAGCAGCTGGGATTTGGAGAAGACTAGAGTTCGGTGTATTAAACATTTACTGCGTGTTCAGGACTGTAGAATGAGGAAGCCCATAAATATCCTGACCCAAGGCTAGAAGTGGGGAGGGAGGTGAGAACATTGTGGAATGAATGCACACATCAGGAGAGAGATGGAAAAACTGTTACTAGGACTCATATATAATTCTATTTTGTAGCCTAACTGGCTCTTGCTCTCAGGAGGTTTTCCTGATATGTATCCTGAATTCCTTTGTTCAGTTTCATTCTCTTACTCTGATGTTTGTAAACAGAATTTTGTGATGGTAATGTTAGGGGAAGCCCTCGAGGTTTTCCTTGGGACCTTTCTGAACAACTAGCCTGAGGTGACCAACCATTGAATAAAGGTCTAAAGCACTGCATCCCACTGCTTTGCAAAGAGAACACAGCTGAAGAGACATGGAGCCCCCTGTGTTTCTGCAGAGACACAAGCAATCATCTTTAAACTGCTCCCCATTCCTTTAGGTTAGCTCAGCACAGACATGAGATCAGAGTAACTGTTGAACCACTCTTTGGGGTGCCATCCCCATATTAATCTATGCCTCTTTCCTTGCCTTCTTGAAGACCCTTCCATTTAATAAATGCTCTTTAACCGAGTCTTCTTTTTCCCTGCAGCCACTTCCAATGGGACTCTGGAAGGCCTGGAGAATAGAGAAGGTGGAGTCTGCCAGACACGCTCTATGAAGATTGTCATGAAAGTGGGGCAGGGTAAGTCACTCCAGTCCTCTAGTAGAGTTTTCCCATTGGACATGAAATCAGTATTGAAATGAAATGTGCTACGTTTTACATAGCTGCCTAGGCCTGCAGTCCAGACTTGCTGAGAGAAGTACTAGTGAACCCTTCGTGGGAGCTTGACAAAGTACCATTGGGACAGCCTCAACACTACAGGAGGCTTCTCATGAAGGGACTGAGCTGGGCAGGACTGAAGACTTGGTGTCTTTTGCTTGAGTTGTTTATCCTAATTGTGACATCTTGTGGGGAATGGGTGAGGGAGGAGCTAGTTTGATGTCTTTGTATTTGATCACTAACTTATTTTGATCAATTTTATAATAAATGTTACAATTCCCAGAAGCCTTTGGCTCTCTTGATGCTGTAAAATACAGGTGATGTTGATGCCCTTGGGTTGCCCCATCTTTGCTCCAGGCATACTGGAGAAACAGAGAGAGAGAGAAGACCTATGAAGTCCCTGTAATCCAAGGGGCAGTGCAGAGTTGTTTCCTACACTTTATTTTCCAGTGCCCCAGACTTGACACCTCTGGTTGTGAACACACCCTGCTCTAAATTATTAGAATGCCATTTAGATAATAAAGAGGATTAAATCATTTGAGTTTAGCAACCAGTCGTGGTTCAGGATTGTGAAGCATTCATGGCCCACAAGGGGGTGGTCTCTCCAAAACAGAGATCTATTTGGAATTATTTTTTTTCCCTTTGGTGCTAACACTTTAGAAAGTTCCAGCAACTTTTTATAGCAACCTCTTCCTCTCTAGGCCCAAAGTGGGGTTACTGGCTATAGTCTGGCATGATGATTAGAGAGAGCATCTCTGTTGTTTGAGCAGTGATGTTTCCCAATTGTTCAGCAGAGTTTGAGTTTTAGGGCCCTTTTTTGGCCAACATTTGTGCACACACAGCATTATGAGCCCAAGTTACAGTTAAGTGTCAGTTCCACCCCACCTTGGTTTTATGACTCCGCTGGAAACTAGCTCAGACTCTGAGATGGATGGTCAACTGAAACTGGTTTGTTCTGTGATAAGGCAGAGTCCTCCAGCTTCCTCAGTGCAATACATAAAGGGAGTTGCCGTGTTCCTCATTGCTGGCAGAACAAATCTGAATGTTGGATGCTGCAGGTCTCTCTAGAAATAGCTGAAATTGTTTAGCCTGTGCTGAACTGGCCTGTTCTCAGTTCCTGCCTAATATATAAACTAGACACAACTTTCAAGTCTGAACTATTCTGTTCCAAAGTAAGACAGCAAAAACTGCTTTCTGCAAGAAAATCCAGTTCTTAAACTAAAATGGGGCCTTCCTATCTCTCCCTATCTGCTCCATTATTGAAGTGAGAGAGAGATGGCCATCAGAAGAGAGAGCTAGAGATCAGGGGCTTTCCCTCTGAAATAGTTCTAAGCAAGGATCCCTCAAACCTTAGCAGGCAAAAGGCACATTGGCAAGTTGCTAGAAGCCCAATAGTTACTCCTAGTTTGCATAAAACTGAATTTATTGCAACCAGTCAGGAATACAGATCCTGGAAGCCATGTTGCCCAGACTAAGAATTGCATTCTAGCAGTTGCAGTTTCTGCAGGCCACCCTCAAGGAATCCATGTTCTGCAGATAGCCGACCCAGGGAGCCTCAACTAGACCCTTTGGCATTCAGTATCAGCAGTTCAGGTGACTACTGGCAGAAGCCTTATCTTCTCTGTGGGATAGATCCTGAAGGTGATAATGCATCTACCAACACAGTGCACTACATGCTCATCAATATTAACAATGAAGGTGGCTGTAGGTCTTGTTACAAAACCCACTGCATTGCAGAGGGCCCTGGGCACCCAAGGCATAGATGGCTGTTCCCCCATTGACCCTCCTTTGAGCAGTCCCCTGCATATTTGTAGGCAATATCAGTCTGTCATTTTGTTGCCCTGGACCCTTCAGTGTGTGCAGGGGAAAGCGATTTTGCCCCTAATACTAATGAATTTCACCTTCTGTGCTGTGAGATATTCTGGGAGTGATATCACAGCTTCATCTAAATGACATTTCTGGAGCTGCAGTTTAATTCCAAGAGGTACCACATGGCCCAGCCTCCTTGGCCTTCCATGAGCTTTCCCAGTGCATGCTGGGATTCTACACGGAGGTCATGGCTCCTGGCATGGAGAAGGGGCAGCTGTGGGAACAGGGCTGAGGCACCGAATTCTTTCTGACATCTGATGCTTCCTTGGGAAATGCCCCCAGAATAAGGGATTGTAGTGCAGCCATGACCTGTCTGAATCCTTTAACTGTGCTCTGCTGTGTAATTTTTTCTGATGGTTGAAGCTCTCTGAAAACATTCTTCTGGGCCCCGGTGAAGCCACAGGCCTGACTCCAGCTCACTCCGTGGATGCAGAGCTCATAATGGCTGCTTTTCGTTATTTTGTTTGATGTTTTTGGAGCAGTATTTATAACAAAAGAAAAGGAATAGTGCTGCTGCCCTGGAAAGTTAGATTCCTTTTTGTTCACTCAGCTGCCTTTGTTGGAAATATGCACAGACCCATGCACTGGCGCTCAGAAGGAATCTTAAAAAAACCAACAACAAAAAACTGTTTCCCCCAAAGTACTGAAATGTTCCAAGCCTGTGATGTCCCCGAACTCCTCTCTCTCAGCCTCCCGATGCCTCTGCCCTCCCTTAAAGACAGTGCTGCTTTATGACTGCCCTTTCGTGTGTGCTTTCTAGAGTGATGCCTTTCAGGCAAAGAGGCAGACAAGGTCCCTGTCCTGAAGAGCTTACACTCTAAGTAGAAGACAGCAAAATAGGGGATGGGAGGCAGCAGCCGGCCACTGCCTGAAGCTGAAGTTAGCATATGGCTTGTTAGTTCCGTGGTTTTCATTTGGCAGTTAGTCTGGTTCTGTTGCCTGTTTTGTTAATGCTCCTTTGAGGAGAGGACTAGCTTTGATGTTGCTATTTCAGTAACTCCTGTGGGTTGGCCTCTTTCCTTTCTGCATCATGTCACACTTCCCAGACCAGGGGAGCGGCAGTAACAGGAATTGCTCCTGGTTTCGCACACTCAGTCAAGTCTCATGCATGCCTTTGGTCTGCTTGTTAGTAGAGTGCCAGCCAGAGTAGGTGAGGCATCTTTGCTCCCTGTGTTGTGTTTGATGTGGTCACTTTACAATGTAAAATTGGGCACATAATCAGATGGACATGAAGGGGAAGGATGGGGGATATGGATGCAGTTAGGGTGAAGCTGGCTTGTCTGTATTGCCCGCCCTCCACTGATGCTGAACAGACCATTGTCTTGCCAACGAGGCACCAAGGAAGCCATCTTGTTCTGCTCTGTCAAATGCCCTCCCTGCTACGTGACATTTTGCTACTACCAGGGGAGCTACTTGCATTATTCATCAATGAGCAACAAATGCCTTGAAGATGGCAGGAGGTGGGTCTGGAGGTCTGGGTTCTCCCAGCAGCACCTATGACAGGCTCATTTCTGTGTGATACTCACAAGGGTTTAAAACTCCATGACTATGTTAAACTGGGGTGGAGGGACATATTTATTAGCTACCTTTCTGGGGAGGGAAAGAGGGCAGCCAAAATACCCCAGCTTCAGGTGATTCCACCTGGGGTTTAGGAACAAACATTTTGGGGGAACAAAATACCTAATGGCGCTTGTCGCATATTGTTAGTGTTTAATATTAAGGCTTTACTATGGTCCAAAAGGCCCATGGGCAATGTGCCCACACAAGCTTCACCCAACTGGTTACAGTAAAATGCAGTTTGTAATGTCCAAAGAGGAGATCCTGGTGCATATAGGATTCATCCAGGAATCTACCTCTGCTTCATGTTTATCTGACTCAGTGCTGTTTCTGCTCCAGTACTTCTGGCCTTGAAGGGGATGGCAGGATTTCCCACCCACCAAGCCAAGGGTATTGCCTAAACTCCCCCAAACTAAAAGCTATTCAGGCAATGTCACTCCTAATGGGCTTAAAAAGAAACAGATTGCCGGCGCTTGTCTTCAGCTTGTCTCTCTTGCTCACCACTGAGATTAGAGGTCTGAGGATATTATGCAAAAGCAGCACAGGCCTTTGGCTGAGGACGGAGCATTACCAGCCATGATCTGCAGTGTCCATACTCTCTCTCTCTCTCTCTCCAGGCTCCATATCGGATTCAAAGTCTCACTCTTATGCTTGAGGTCCTAGCCCAACCTATGTCTTGTCACTGGTCACTTGCTTGCCCTCCTATTTGGACCCTCTGCTAATTCTGTTTCGGTCTAAAAATTCCTTTGTGCCGTTTCCAAGGCTGTCCAGGGAATGTTTTCTCTGAGTCTTACAACACGCAGCCTCACTCCCCTCCTGCAGATCCCTCCTTCAAACCCAGCTTTGCTCACAGGCCCTCAGACAGTGACCCATATAACAGATTCTACTCAAGCCAACAAAATTACTTTAAATATGGCAGCTGCTGCAATGCTCCCTGTGTCACTTCAGCAGCCATGATCACATTTCAGCTTTGTGCGCCTTCCTTCTTTGCTTGCTGTTGTTTTCCCAGCATTGTGTCTGCCATTCTCCATGTAGAGTGTAAGTTCCTCAGGGCAAGGCCTGTGCTGCCAGTACCTGCACACACTGTACATGTCTAGGGCCAGGCTGTACAATTGTATTACTTTTGAAAGGAAGCTATCCGTGGTCGCACTTAATCTAATGGAAATGCCTGCATTCTGGCAACAGATAGGAAGGATCTGACTCCTTACTTCCCCGCACCCTCCCATACAGGGCCGGCTCCAGGCACCAGCTTCTCAAGCAGGTGCTTGGGGCGGCCGCTCTGGAGAGGGGCGGCACGTCCAGATATTTGGCGGCAATTCGGCGGATGGTCCCTCACTCCGCCTGGGAGCGATGGACCTCCCGCCGAATTGCTGCCACAGATCGCAATCGCGGCTTTTTGTTTGTTTTGTTTTGTTTTGGCTGCTTGGGGCACCCTGGAGCCAGCCCTGCTCCCATACATACACTCTTCCCACAAAACTCTGAGCTGCTCCTCTCTTCATCTCTATTTGGTCACCTTTGACATGTGTAGAACACACTGGTCTAGTTTCATGCCTGGTGTAGCCCTCTGAAGTCAGTGATGTTACCTCAGGGGTAGATATGGCCCAGTCCAGACCTCCTTCTGCAGCATTTAACCCCTTGGCTTCCTGGACCAGCCCTGTGAGGTGCAGAACCCTCCATGCAGAGCTGGGTTCCGGTTGGAGTTCAGGAGAAATGTTTGGTTTTGAGTGTTCTCGGGAAACGCAACCTAGCTTGCAGTCCTACCGTTTAACATGTACTGCTCTTGGGAAGGGGTGCCTGTGTGAAACCACCTTCCACCCACCTCTGTCGATTCGGGAGGCAGCTGATACTATGCTGTATTGTGGTCACACCGAGAATCCCCACTTGGGATTGGGGCCCCCATTGTGCTGGGTGCCTTGTGCACACAGGAAGATACAGCGTTGCCTCAAAGAGCCCTCCCTGTAAACAATTACTGAATATCACGGAGGACGAGATGAGGTGAGGGAGGAGCATAATGAAGATAAGATCATGCCTTGCATTAGATTAGTGACTTGCACAACTTGGTGGTCCTGATGGTTCTCAATTGTCTTAAATGTCAATCAAATCACTCTCCTTGACTTAGAACTAAATCATTGTTGCCTGGTTAGTTTCTTGTGGGTGTCACAGCAGAGGTGAGTCTAGTGGAGGGATTAGAAGGAGGAAACAGTAGTAGCCTTACAAATTAATTCAGGGAGGGCATTCCCTGCATAAAGGGGTAGTGTGGAGGAAACTACAGAGACTGATTCGAGAATAAAAACAATGATGAGTCCTTGTGGCATCTTAGAGACTAACAAATTTATTTGGGCATAAGCTTTCATGGGCTAGAACCCACTTCATCGGATGCATGAAGTGAAAAATACAGGAGCAGGTATAAATACCTGAAAGGATGGGGGTTGCTTTACTAAGTGTGAGGTCAGTCTAACGAGAGAAATCAATTAACAGCAGGATACCAAGGGAGGAAAAATAACTTTTGACGTAGTAATAGCGACCCATTACAGACCGTTGACAAGAAGGTGTAAGTAACAGTAGGGAGAAATTTAGTATTAGGGAAATTAAGTTCAGGTTTTGTAATGACCCAACCACTCCCAGTCTTTATTCAGGCCTAAAGTCTGATGGTATCCAATTTGCAAATTAATTCCAGTTCTGCAGCTTCATGTTGGAGTCTGTTTTTGGACACCATCATAGGTCCTAACCACATCAGCCACACCATGCAGGGCTCGTTCACCTGCACATCTACCAATGTGATATATGCCATCATGTGCCAGCAATGCCCCTCTGCCATAAACATTGGCCAAACCGGACAGTCTCTACGCAAAAGAATAAATGGACACAAATCTGACATCAGGAATCATAACGTTCAAAAACCAGTAGGAGAACACTTCAGTCTCTCTGGTCACTCAATACCAGACCTAAAACTGGCAATTCTTCAACAAAAAAACTTCAAAAACAGACTCCAACGTGAAGGTGCAGAACTGGAATTAATTTGCAAACTGGATACCATCAGATTAGGCCTGAATAAAGACTGGGAGTGGTTGGGTTGCTTATACAGACTAACACGGCTATCACTCTGAAACCTGATTAGAGAATGACTTTCAAATGTGGGACTTAACCTCAAACCATCACACATCCTCTAGTTAAAAGGAAATGCCTCAAATGAAAAACCAAGGCAGGACTTGTGCCTGCCTCCAGGAATCATGTTGCTGGTGCGATAGGACACGAGGGGCAGTTCAGGCCCAGAGTCCTGGACACTGGTTGTTTGAATAAGGGAGAGAAGCCTTGTATCACTCTGGTTCCCTCCGGCCCTTTTTCTATGTGGTTAGCCTAGCACTCAGTGTTGGAGCTGGGGGACGCAAGAACCAGAGTGCATGTTTAAAACCAAGGGGAATGTTTGCCCCTCCATACATAGTAGGGAAATGTACCCAGTGTTCCTAAGCCTCTTTACCAAGCCTCCCACTCTTACCCATCAATCCCTTGCCCCTGTGCCTCTGATTCCTTCCTCCTGCCCATACAAGCATGTAGCCCTTGCACAGGGCCAGCCCAGACTCCTGCCGCAATGCACTTATGCACATGCAGAGTGCTGTGCTGCACCACCTTTCTGAACAACGTTTGACATGGGCCCTCAGATACCAGGGTAAGGAGTGATGTTTAAGCGATTGACGGTGGAGGAAGAGCTACAGCTCTTGATGTTGTAATCTAGCACCTGGAAGCAGATTTCTCATCCAGTCTTTCTTTTTCACAGATCCAAATGCTGTGATCCCAGAGCAGCTGACAACCAGTCGGCCCAGCAAGGAATCTGACAATACAGTGAAAATCGCTACACAGAGTCCACGCCACAAGGTCCCTGTGGTGGAGGATCCTGGGAAGCCAGGTAGGTTTGCCTGTTCATTTTAGGAAAGAGAGAAAAACCAGTAGTGCTCTTAGTGGGGCCAGGGAAGTGGGGCCAGAACCAGCTATTGATTGCCAGAGGAGCCAAGCCCAGTTCGGTTCTAAGAATCCAGGGAAATTGAGATACCTTAGAGCAGGTAGTTAGATCAGACATGTGCAAGCTCTCTGCACCGGTTCCTGCAAACTCATCTGGGGTTCCCTCACCATACATCTCCTGATGTCACTGCTCGGCCTCTGTTTGGTAGGGGCATAGACAGTGAGATGCTGCCAAAGTCCAGCGCAGTGGCAGAATGGACTTGGACTCTGAAGGATAATTCCTGGAGCTGCCTTTTCAGCTCCCCATTGTCTTAAGCAGGGGGAGTTTTCCTTTAGCACTCTCCTGCTGCTGTCCTCTGCATTGGTTGTTATCTGACGGTTTATTGAGGCAGAGTTCGGGGGGTTGGAAGAATAGAGGTTGGATTTTTGAGCCAAGCCTGGGTGAAAGGCCTTTGAAGGTGCTTTCCAGAGTTCCTGTCCCTGCTGAGAGAGAGCAGTGGAATCCGATGAAGTGGGGGAAAGCTGCTCGTTTCTCCATCTGTGATACAGACAGGCAGCCAAACTGCTCCCCTCAGGGGTCTGGAGCTGCCTTGGACTGGGTGGCTAGAGGGAGGTGAGGGGCAATAACAGGATATGGCAGGTCTACAGGCATCAGAACCCACTTTCAGTAGAGCTCTCTAGTCTTCTGGGGGGAGCAGGGACTCCTGGGGTTCATTCTGATTACAGACTGGATATGAACAGCCATCTGTCTCCAGTCCAGTAGGGAAATGTGAAAGGAGAGGATGTCAGATTAGGGTGAGGAAATGGGGCAACAATGGGCCAACAGTGTCTGAGAGTGTCCAAGGTTTCTCTCTTACGGTATGTCTACACTGCCAGTGAAGCTGTGATTGTAGCATGGTCAGGCATACCTGCGTTACCTATGCTAGCTAGATTAAAGCTAACAATAGCTGTGTAGACATGGTGGCATGGGCTTCAACACAAACTAGCAACCAGAGTACAGGCCCTCTAGGGAGCCTGGGTAAATACTCTACTCTAGTTGCTAGCCTGTGACATTATGTCTACACTGGTATTGTTAGCTTTAATCTAGCTAGTTTGGGTAACACGGGTATTCTTACCCATGCTACGATCACATCTTCACTTGCAGTGTAAACATATCCTGAGATTGCATTGCTTCTTGAGACTGAGTAATAGGAGTTATGTACAAGGTGAACCCAGTACATGCAAAGTAAAAGAAGATATGCTGTGGACACTGCTGTGCTGGGGTCTCTCCAGAATATACCCATTCCTCCTCCTGGAATCAATGGGTCTGATGCTCCCACTAGCCGGACTGTTGCCTCTTCTATCTCAGTTCACGCGGAGGAAGGGCTGTGCTTCTGATTACCATCTGTAAGGGTTGGAGATGCAAATACAGCAGAGTGGGAGCCCTTGAGATCTTGCCAGCTCCTTGGTGTGTCCTCAAATCTGGGTGTAGTACTGGAACCCAGGTACTTAGGCTCCATAGTTTAGACATACCCTATGCTGACACAGGCTATGTCTACACTATGGGGACTATACCAGGCTAGACATAGCCTACACCGGCAGATGGGTTTTCTGTTGTAGGAAAACCACCTCTCAGAACGATGTTAGCTATAATCACAGAGGCACTCTGCTGTCGACATAGCTGCGTCTACACTGAGGGCTATGTCAGCATAATTATGTTGGTCAGGGATTTTTTTCACACCCTAGACCATTGAGACTACATTGACATAACTTTTAAGTATAGACCAAGCCTTAGACTGAACTTCAACCCCTATCCCCTCAAATCAACCGGTAAACGCTCTTCCTCTATCTCTTGCCCAGTCTTGTATCTTAACCTTCTCTTGTGTCCCATCCTATAATAGCTATTTTTCAGTTGCCATTGCAGTACATTAGTGAACTGAGTTTCCTTTTCCTTATGCAGATGGGTGAATTTGGAGCTGGGCCAAGTGCTGGTAGGCGTACAAGCTTCTTCCCCAAAGCTCTACTAGTGTACCTCATCCCTGATTTTCAGCTCCCCCTGCTATTCCCGTCCACCACTCTTGCTAAATTGGGTGTGGTGGCTTTGCAGTGGAGCAAGGGGATTAGGCTGAGACCATGTAAATTATTTTTGTGGCTTAAGCAAGAGAAGAGCCCAGGTTCCCCGAGATGGAAGGGAGAATGACTAAATGTTTGGTCAGGAAGGTCATTTCCTCACTTTAATCCATCTTGTTTTCTCCCCCAGGCTCCGTTAACCAAGATGGGCAGAACACCCAAGGTAGCAGTGATGGATTCTTCAGCTCTAAGGTGGCAGTATTTGCTGCAATTGGTGCTGGCTGTGTCATCTTCATCCTCATCATCATCTTCCTTGTTGTCCTCCTGATCAAGATCCGCAAGCGGCACCGGAAGCACACCCAGCAGCGGGCAGCAGCCTTGTCACTTAGCACCTTGGCCAGTCCCAAGTGCAGCGGTAATGCAGGTTCAGAACCCAGCGATATCATCATCCCCTTACGGACTACAGAAAATAACTACTGCCCTCACTATGAGAAGGTGAGCGGGGACTATGGGCACCCCGTCTACATTGTCCAGGAGATGCCCCCTCAGAGCCCGGCCAACATCTACTACAAGGTCTGAGGAGCAGCCTCGGCAACCTACCAATGCAAGAGCACTAGAGAGCTGAGGGCCCTGGGGGCAGCCGCTGGCTCTCCCCACTAGTGTGCTCGCTCTGTGAGGGAGGAAGTGAAATGAACCCCATGGCAAGACCAGGGGAGCGCAAGGGTCTCGCACCAGATAGTGGATCACCCGCTCGCACGCTCTCGCTCTGTTTTCCCCTTTGTATTTAGTTTTGTAGTTCTCAGCTTTTGTAATCCCAAGACTCGAGGGTGGGCCTTCAGCATCCTCCTCCTGCTTCAGACTGCATCCTGGCTCTAGACGCATCTAGCCATGATATGGCCCTAGCTGCGCGCAACAGCCATTGTGCGTGGGCGCTGTGCCTTTCCTCACTCTGATGCCCCTGGCGATACCACAAAACTCTGCCCCCTCTTGATTTGGAGATGTCCCTTTCAGCTTTTCCATCTATATTATGTTAAGTATTCTTGTTTTTGGGGCTGTGCCGGTTGTTGCTTTGGTCCAGGATTGTCCTAGGAGTCGGATTAACTTGTGGGCCCTAGAGAAGAACTGCCACTCACCTGAGGAATGAGCAGCTTGCGGCAGCACTTTGCGTAGGCGTGCCAAGGACGTAGACCCTGTGTAGGGGGGAGGCTGACAAACCCAACCTACTATTATTATTATTATAATTATTTTTTAACTTTTGTAACGTTTTTATTTTTGTGAAATATTGGTGGGACTCTGAGCCACCACCTGCAAGCCTTCTGGCATGCTCTTCTCCCTCTGCCATGCCAATCCCCTGGCCATGCTCTGCCAGGACACACACTCTCACCTTCTGCTGTCCTTGCCATTTTAAACTTTTGTGTTCAGTGTGTAGCAGTCGACTCTTGTTTATCTGCTTAAACGGGGCGGGAAGAAGAGGAAAAATATAACTCAAATGGTCAGTGCATGAGAGAATCCAGGGCTCTACCCCATGCCACCCAGAGCCAGGAGCCTCTTCCCCTTCCACAAGACAGTAACCTTTATGGGAACTCCTCCAAAGGTGTGTCTTCTTCATAGCATGTCCCTCGCCTGATCTCTTTTCCTAGGACAGAGGCTGAGCTAGTTTCTCCAACATCAGGGAGAGGGCAGTAGGACAGCATTCACTGATAGCCTCAGTCAGGCCGGATCTGGGACTGGGTTGAGAGAAAAGGGTGGGAGCATTCAGTAACTTAGTCACAAGGTTCATTCTTGGCTCTGTCGTTTCAGCAGATCCTGAAGCTGGTTTGCTCTTTGGGTTCAGGCCACAGTGCTTCCATTTGGGCTGGAAACGAAATGAATCATGCCTGCTCTGAAGCCTGTACTTGACATGTTCTCAGGAGACTAGAGCAAGTGAGAAGAGAGCAGGAGGAGGTGGCTAAGAGGAAGAGAAAGCAAACTGCATCGATATTGGGGGTGGGGCAGATATTCAGTGGCCACAGCAGTTAGGCTGTTCTGGGCTTGGCTGAGCTGGGGAGGTCAGTATTCTGAGTAAGCTCATAGGCCGTCTAGGCCCCCATGTATCCCAGCAGCCTCATCCCTTCCACAGAGAGCAGCTGGGCCTCTTCTCCCGCTGACCCTCTTGGTTCTAGAACTCTTACACATTTCAGTGACTGCCAGGCATGAGGCTTGTTTTAACCATTGTACTGTCACTCTGACTGGTCATGCTCTTTGTGCAGGCCCTTCGGGTGGGGAAGGCAGAGACTTGCTAAGTTTCTTGCTGTGGCACATCCTACACCAAGCCTCATGGCTGAATTGGCTCATTTCCTTTCCCTTCCGTTTCTGAAAAGCAGGGATTTGGTTTATCCAAGCTGGGTCCTTTCCTCTTGTGTTCTGGGAGCTGGCTTTTTCCACCCATTGCGGAGTCACTCCTAGATACTTTTTTGGTAGGAGGGGTAGCCTAACCCTGAAAGAGTAGCCCTTAATCATCACTACTGAGGCCTCTACCTATTAGCATTGGAAGCAACTGTCTGTTCCATGCTACCACTGCAGGAATCTTGTGCAGAAGGGGGAAAAACAAATCCTGTGATTGGTTGGCCTCTAAAAGCAAAGCCAGTCATGGAGGCGTAGCTCAGTGGTTTGAGCATTGGTCTGCTAAACCCAGGGTTGTGAGTTCAATCCTTGAGAGGGCCATTTAGGGATCTGGGGTAAAAAATCTGTCTGGGGATTGGTCCTGCTTTGAGCAGGGGGTTAGACTAGATGACCTCCTGAGGTCCCTTCCACCCCTGATATTCTATGATTCAGCGCTAGAAGCGGGGCTTAGCTCCTCGATGGCTTCAGCAAACCCTATTGATTGCTGTTGTCATGGCATGAGCACCAGTCAAAGACCCTGCTCCATCCTCCTGATTTACCAGGTAACAACTCATCCTATCTGGCTCCTTTCCGTGTATGCATGCGTCCCACCTCACAGGGCAGGAATGGCTGTGTCCTGGAGTAGAGAGGAACCTTTCACAGAAATACTGCAGTTCTTGCAGTTATGGCCCCAGACCTAGTAGTAACATGACTGAGTGGCAGTGTTTGAGGCCATGACTGGGATCTTGGAGCATCTTTGAGAAGGTGCTGCCATGCTGACCTTGTTGTGTCCAAGGGAAGGATGGCTACATTCCCAGTCTGTCCTGTGGGGGGATTTCCCAACATCTCATAAAAATGTAGGGTTGAAAGGGACCTCGAGAGGGCAAGTGTAGCCCCCTTTGCTGAAGCAGGACCAAGTAAACCTAGACCATCTCTCACAGGAGTTCAAAGACTATTAGGAACACATTAGACAATGATGGGGATTCCGCAACCACCCGTGGGAGCCTATTCCAGAGTTTAATTACCCTTATCTTTAAGAAATTTTTCCTAATATTTAACCTGAATCTCCCTAGCTGCAGTTTAAGCCCATTACTGCTTGTCCTACTTCAGTGGACATGGAGAACAATTGTTCCCTGTCCCGTTTATAACAGCCTTTCACGTATTTGAAGACTGTTGTCAGGTCCCCCTCACCCCAACCGTCTTTTCTCAAGACTAAATAAGCCCAGTTTTTTTAACCTTTCCTCATAGGTCAGGTCTCCTAACCCTTTTATCATTTTTGTTGCTGTGCTTTGGACTCTCACATCTTTCTTAAAGTGCGGTGCCCAGAACTGGACACAGTTCTCCTGCTGAGGCCTAAAAGAATAATTGTCTTAAGTGAATGTGATGTGATAACAAGGTGAGAGCCAGTGCTTCTGTGACCTTGTGTGGCTGCCTTGGCATCTGTCCCTGGGACGGGGGGGACGGGACGTTTCTGACCCTTCTGATGCTGCCTCCACCTCATGCATGAGCATGGGTGGGGAGTGAGAGAGTTGCTTGCCTTTTCCTTTGGGAAGTGGCTGCTTTGGAGGAAGTATAGTGTGAGGGATAGAACTTGTGGTGGGAAGCCAGTCCCTTAACTTATCCTTGAACCAAATAGCGAGGGTATTCCCAAGAGACAGAAAGGCCCTTCTCTCTCCTGTCCTCTCTGTGAGATTCAGGTATGGAGTCATCACTCCCCCCATGCAGGTCCTGCTCTGCTGGGCATGGTACTTAGGAGTCATTTAGTCCACTGGACTCAGCCTGAGGCTGCCCCCAAGAGCATGTGTGCTGCTGCCATCTGCCTTTCCCAATCCCATTTCTGGGCGGGGATTAGTCATTTTATTAGTTTACTGGATCCCATTTGTAAATCCATGAAAGGAATTGGCTAGAGCACAGTGTTTTAAACTGTCTTTGGAGCTGCAACTGTTGCATGGTGGAGACCTGCACTATGGGAATCAGAGGCCATCAGGACATGACAGGGGCCACAGCACCCATGTCAGCCTCCAAGCTGGGCTCTGCTTTAGGTGCTGGGCTAGTGCCCTAGCACTCCCTCTGTTTTCCCCGCATGTTTCTTTCATGTGACTCCAACTGTTCATGTTTACTGGTGGTCCCAGAATTGGCTGTTTGGAAGTGCACAGCTGGAGAGAACCACCATGCAATGTGGCTGGGTGTGATGAGTACGTGGCTGCAGGCAGCAAGGGGAGATGTGGCCCAACTCCGGGTACAGCCCAGTAAGCAGGGAGAGGGAACACAAAGCACAGCATACAGTGGGGGATGTCGCTGTCCTGATCTCATTACAGGGAGTCTCTCCAGAATCCTGGCCTTGTGCCTTCTCCCTCTAACCCAGGGCACTTATTTCCATAAGGCAACTGTAAAACCAAGAGGGATGTGGGGCCCACTGAGTTCCAGAGGGGAAAGCGGGCACTGTGCTCTGTGGAAATGGCCTCCTGGGGGCTGCATCAAAGAGCAATTGTTTAGTTTTTTAGAAATGGAAAAATGAGAGCTCGGGGTCGAGCAGAGCAGCATTCTCCTCTCTCTCCCTCTCTAATCCCAGACAGGGCAACAAGCAGGATGCCCCACACCCTCCACTTCTCAGCACAGTGCAAGGCAATAAACCAGCTAGAGTCATGGCTGCCTTTACAGTGGGAGGAGAAGAGCCTTAGAATCACAGGGAACTTAACCTGATCCCATTGTCCCTCCCTCAGGCTCCGGGCTGAGACACAGCAGAAGGGACACTAGTCAGCTGCCAGCCCCTGAGAGATGGCAGGATGGAAAGAGGTTTCATTTTGCACCTTTCAGTTTTGCTCCCTCCCCAAATGCACCTTTTCTTCCCCGCTGCGGGGTCTGTGCAGGATGCCGTGCTGTGCCACATAGCTGCCAGGCTGGGCAGAGTGTTTTGCCAAGGTGTTTCTAAAGGGCTTAGACAAGAGTGCACTTTGAGGCTTGTTCGGCTGAGGTCGTCGGCCAAGGTCCATGTTTTTCAGGACTCCACAGAGGATTGACTGAGTCTGTTGTGTAAAATTGCGAAAAGATTCTAATCTTAAAGAAATCCCCCCCTCCCCAAAAAATCAGCATCCTGTTTCCAGGTGCAACTAAAACAATCGAGATTCCTAACGCTGGAGAAGCAGCCCAGCCTGTGTGCATTGTTAAAGAACCGTTTGTTTACAAGGAGTTTCACCTCCCAGCCTGGAAAGGCGTGCTTGGCAGTGGTTTGAGATTTCGATGGTCAAGCTGAGGGCATGCTTGATGGGAAGGGCTAGGAGATGCCAGGGGCCTGGCCAGACGTTTATACCAAAAGTAGATAAATACAATTATTCCAACGTTTATTGTTAGCTCTCCAATGTGATTACTGCCCCCTGAATGCAGTGACTGTCCGCTTGCCCCTCTCCTGCTTTTCTGGGATTTTTAAATCTTAGTAGTCTATTGCTAATAAAAGGGCAAAACCACCCATCATCAACAGAATGTGGGTTGCTTGTTCGTAACCCCCATAAACGTAACTAACTCCTCTAGCTGTGGGCAGCTGAAAAACTTGTAACCATGTCCAGGGGTGAAATTTGAACTGTAATCTTGCTGCGCACCTCAGTCTGCTGGGTCCTAAAACTGAGTGTCCCTTTTGTTCTTTTCACTGAAAGAATTGAAGGTGTTTTGTTTTTGTTTTGTTTGTGTGTAAATACTAGTCTTTTTTGGAAGAAATAATGTAAAGATGTTTTGTATAAACTCTGAATTATTTTCTGGTTGCTTTTTCTTAGAAAAAGAAATGAGAAACTAAAAAAAAAAAAATAACCAAGAACGGGTGTAAAACATTGTCATATCGCAATCAAATCCAGGAGGCTCATCAGCTAAAGGGTGTGTGTGCGCGCGCACTTTGGTGGAGCCATGGAGAATTAGGGAATGGGGTCTTCATTGCACCGCGATGCCCTTCTGACAAGAAAAATTACTACATGACCCCAGGAAGAGGGACTGAAGCTTGAGCCTACCCAAGCCCCACCACCCCATGGGGGGGGGGGGGAGGGGGCAAAGCCCAAAGGCTTCAGCCCCAGGCAGGGGGCTTGTAACGTGACCCCACCGCCCAGGGTTGAAGTCCTCAGGCTTTGGCTTCAGCCCCAGACAGTAGGGCTCGGGCTTTGGCTTCAACCCTGGGCCCCAGAAAGTCTAAGCCAGCCCTGGTGACCCCATTAAAATGGGGTCGTGACCCACAGTTTGAGAACCACTGCTCTAAAAGCAGTTGGTAAATCCCCCCCTCCCATTTTTAAAAAAGGTTTTAAGCCAAACTCATGAATTTGGGGGGCCTACCTCGTGATGTGGGAGTTGTCAGTGCTGGGGTGGGATGTTAACCCACCCCCTCTTCTTTCTAATTGATAAGTGAAAGCTAAACTCTCCCCACCCACCCCTTACTGTGCCTGATGCCTTCATGTCAAAGAAATGCACTCTGTCTAACTAAAGCGAATGAGTGGGGAAGCACCAGAGGTTAGTGCCATGGGGGGAGATGTGCAGGTGCCTCATGGAAGCCATTTCCAGCTCTGCTGTCACATCACGAATTGCAGGTGGTTCAGGGATGGAAGAGGACTAATAGGTCTGTCTCCAAGGTCTGAGTCTGTGGTGATTGCCCTGTGTATTACAGCTGCTGGTCAGTTAGTTATGCCAAAAACCTTCTGCATTATATCAACACAATGAGTTCATGTGAGGTGGTTGCTGCAGTACCAAGTTCTCTGGAATGTTAAGATAAATTGATGAGGTGAAAAGGGTCAAGGGAGCCCATTGTCTCCATGGCAGTGCACGCGCAAACACACCCCGTAACGTGACGTGCTCCCACATTTCAGAGATGTCAACAGGTACACGTTTGTGGGGGGTGTACCTACGGTGTGTATGCAAATACACTCTGGCATGACAGATGAGCCCATGCATCACAGCCATGTGCACATTTGGGTCATCTCATTAAACACCACAATCTAGTATTCAGCAGCAAGTTAAACTTCCTTCCATTTTCTTAAGTTGGGGACCTCCTTAAGTCATGTGATCAACCAGTGTTGCTGCCGCCTCGGCCGCCTTTGCCCATCTATGCTGGAGCAGTAACAGTCAGTTATGGTCTCACAGGTATTCTGGCTGGATCATGCTCTCGCCTTTCCTTCCTGCACCTCAGGCTCTTTCTTGCCCCTACAGCTGATGCTGCCAGCAGGATACTCCCAACTGTAAAAGATCGGAGGTAGCAAGTCATCCTCGTGCATTTCTGGAGTGTCAGTGAACCAGACAAAGGAGGGTGATTCATGAACACATTCTGGGACTAGATTAGTGGTCAGGCTGCCAGTGCTGTGCCGCCCTGCTGCTGTAACTGATGTCCTCATCTGTATGCAGAGAGTACAGATGCTCTCCAGCCCCAGGGCTAATGAGTGTTTACACATTTTGCCTTCATTACCAGAATTAAAGTACTCACCGCCTCTCCAGAGAGTGCCCATCCACTCAGGCCTCTCCTTGGCAGGCAATAGATGACTTGGTCTGAGAAACACTCCAAAATGAGAGTGCCTCTTCTCAGGAATTATTTTTCCCTTCCCACCCTCATGATGAATTGCAAGGTGCAGAGTATTTCTCCCTGCCCTAGAGCAAGATAGTCAATGGGCAAGCAACTCACTGGCTGGTTGATCATCTCTTGGTTTCTAATCATGTTCCATCCATATGTTAAGTTTTGGTTTGGCTTCTGGGCCGTGGCCCAGAGTCCTGGAATCCTATTGGTCATGCTCACCCAAACCATGTATTCTTTTGTTCTTGTCATGTTCTTTTTTTAATTCCTTTGCCTTTCACACAGCTGCTTTCACCCAGTATCATATCATCAATAATCAGTAATATGGAATCTGAATTCCATGGAGCCATGATGGAACCTGATATATTGTTAAATAAAAGATTTTTTTCCTATGGAAACCTAGCAGTCTTCAGTGTGTTTTTGTTCCTGCCCCAGACTCTTTTTGGAAATAATGTTGTTTTAAAAGAACCAGGAACAGGTTGACTCAGGGAATTGATAATGGGCTACGAAGCAGCACCTTGAGGTGCTGAGTGCTAGACTGAGAAGCATTTGGAGTAGGTTTTTTTTTTTTTTTTTTTCAGTCAAAATAAAGAAAGTCACACATATAGTTGCATATACCCAATTGTAATCCCCTCTCACTTGTCTTGTTTGACTATCAGCTCCTCAGGGAAGCGATCTCATGTTCTGTGTTTGTACAGCTCCAAGCACAATGGAGTTCTGAGCCTGACTGCAACCTTAACTGCAACATGAAACTGCCACTGCTTTGAATCAGGTCCAAGTTAGAACCCACCGAAGCTTTTCTATCTGCGTATCCATAATTGGCCCTCTGGTAAATAGGTTTGGTCCTGTGCTAGTGGGGTAAGGATCCATATAATACAAATGGCCAATGTAAATGGTTCCAGTGGATTGTCTCAGCCAGAAAGCAAATGTGCCATGACTGAACTCTCCTCTCTCCCTGAGGTAGGGCTATAGGACCTTGGCCGAGGGCAGCCAGAGGGGAAGCTCATGTTCTGTAGAGACACAGAACTTCAGTCACTGGGGCTGTCAGCCCAGCATCTTCCACCAGCACTGAGTAGCGCCCTTAAATATTAAACCAAGTCGCAGACACGTCAAAGAACTGGGAGTGATTTTTCAGTTTGGAAACAAGATAGGCTCTCCGTGTCTCATTCACCACCCTAGGGATGCTTTCGTGAAATCAGGATCTTTGTTCCTTAGCACAAATACAGAGATCAGCACCCTCTGCCGGGGCCATTGTCCTTAGCTGCTGTGGGGAAGCCTTGTGAAACCCCAGCCAGTGGAATCTGCCTGAAGTGGGGGTTGGCAGCAGGAGCAGGAACCACAAGCACCCTGCTCCTGTGCTGAAGACAATGCCCTGAGATTGTACATAATCTCGGGGGGTATTGCCCAGTGGCTGGAAGCATAGACCCCCTTTCGCTATTGACATTTATTTAATCATTCCTCCATATAACTTAATTTAATAAGTTATTAAAAAGTCATTCTGGGAAATGGCAGTAATAAATCCTTAACAGATGGTGCCATAACCAGCTCCGAAGCAGGCTCCACCATAGCTGTTGCTCTGCCTATTTATAACCTGCTTTAATATAGGATTTTACATGACTATAAAGTACCACAAAATGCAATAAATAATAGATGAGAAGCATTAGCAAAATGGATCCACTGAGCATGAAGCCCCTCTGCTTTGCTTGGTCACTTCTCACTGCAAGTTGGGTGGGTTCTGAGGCCAGTACTGCCCCTCCTGTGTGTGTCTATTGCCAAGTGCCAGTCTGTGTACTCACTGCCTAGGCATCAGCTTGGCAAATCTAAGACATGCTGTTCCCTTCCCCCGGGTGGAGAATAGGGAAACCAGCTACGCAATGAGCTGTCTGCTCCTGAGTGGAAAACTGTCCAGGACTGCCCAAGTGATTGGCTTTGGTAGTCTTTCGTTCTTGTCCTACACTGTAGGGTAGCACTGCTATGGGATACTGTGAACGTGTATTTAATAGGACTTTCTGTTCAGCCACGTTCCACTCGGAACGCAGCTGTACTTCATTAGTTGGGACCCTTTGACGTGCAAGGCACTATAGAAATGGAAGATCCCTCTCTCCAAGTGGAATGGAAAGTGTAAGGATGTTGCTATCTCCCTCCACCCACTAACCTGCAGAGATGACTGTATACTCAGGAGAACTTGGAAACCTTTGACTGCCTTGCTCCCTAGCAACTCTGCAGAGAGCCCCTCTGCCATTGCTCCACTTGCCTCCATATGCTAAATTAAAAGCCACTCGACATGTGAAATACAAAGACTGTGATTTATGTCAGATAGAATCTTTGCAGAAATGATCCAAGGGAATGTGAAATGTCGAATTCATTTCCTGTGAAGGAAGTTCCTGGTGGGGCGTGATTAATGCTCTCCAGGCAAATGCCTGTGGGATTCCATAAGACAGAAGCCCTCATAAGGGAAAGGGTTTGCTTCTGATTCTTTATGGATGAATCCAAACCTTAGAAGAGGGTCTCTTCTATATTCCTGGGATTTGGACTGGGAATCAGGACATCTGGGGTTGGCCCTTCTTACTGGGAAAGATGCCATAAGCAAAATCTGCTGGCTTAGCAACCTCCCAAGATGCAGAGAAGACATCAGGGTGAATGAAGGGATCCCTCAGTGTAGTTCATATGGGACTTGAAGTCTGAAGCATTTGGGATCATCGGGGATGAAAGGTGCCAGAGAAGTATAATGTCATGATCAGAGACACTGCATGACCCAGGCAGGAGGAGGCTGGTTAGAAAGGAAAGAGCTGCTCTTTATACATTGACCGTGCTAACTAGCAATGAATGGGAAAGAGGGGCTGGGGGAAGGTGAAGTTCACTAAAACAAGACTGAAGTGAATTTCATGCTGTAGAAAGATGACACGGTGAACTGCAAAGTCCCCTTTACACTGCAAAAGTACAAGATGGCCTGTGGAATGCAAGCATCCCTTACATCCAACTCCACCGATGTGCCTGACTTCTCCCTGCAGCGATCACCTCTGGTCGTGATGGTGGGTAGGTGGTGAAGGTAATCGATATATAGGTTTAAAGTTTGTTCAGTTGCCCCCTTGTAAGCATGAACACTTTCTATTCTTGGGGGGATTGGAACTTTTCTCTTGATCTCTTCTGTGGTTCCTTAGACAAAGTGTCCAACACAAAATGAATCATTTTCTTATTTTCTTTAGCTACTAGGTGGAGTTCAGAACTAGGTGGAGCCTGTTTCAGTTTAAACAGAAGCGTGGATAGTTTTTTCTGATTTTTGAGGGTCAGGAGGAATTAAGTTGTTAACCATATATTCCAGTCATGCTTGTCATCTACCTCTCATCCTGTAGATCCATGTATGTCAAGAAAACTCCTTGAACAGCTGGATCACTGAGGGCCATGATTCATTTCCTAAAATTGTCTTTGAACCCCTGCCAAGGAGTTGGACTGACCTCAGAAGGTTCCTTCAGCACAGAAACAGAGCTTAGGGAGACCTCCTGAAGTCCATCTCTGACCAGCTGTTGCTACAAAGCATCGGAATTCCAATAAGGCAGCTAACTCTGTCCAGTCGATCAGCACTATTGTCCATTTATCATGACCACACGTTTTCCTGTGGGCCAGGAACTCCACTGTGGCTCTGCTCTGGCCAGGTCTGACTCAGCAGAAAAGTGTCCTCATGAACACATTCATGAATAGATTAATTAACAGACAGAGAGTTCTCTTATAGAAAGAAATGAGAATGAAACCTCATGATGTCTCCCTAATGGAGCCTGTGGGAGGCATGGCCTTGGAATTGCTGTACCTGCAGTCACTATCTGCTCTGGGTCCTTTTTAGAATCTGAGCTGTATTTTCCTGGGATAGTTCTCCCTTGGGGAGGGATTCTTCCACTCATAGAAATGTTTGTGGAATGTATCTTCAGGATGTACTGGAGATCTAACTGCAGAGGGAGGGATGGCAGGCGGGGAGGGGGGGTCGGGAGGGGAGAGAGATTGTATCAGGTAAAGAAACAGCCATTTCCCAGTTCTTTTGCTAATTTAACCACCTCCCACTATGTCCAGGGTAAACATGGGCCTGACTGAAAGGAGCATGGCTCTGTGGAGTGTCAGAGAGGAATGTGGAGAAGCAGGAAGAGTCAGGGTCAGGGTATGTGCTGGGAATGCAAAGCACTTGGTGTGAGCTGAGACAGGAGCCTGGGAGCAGCTTGGGGTTCACGGTGGCTGGATGTTAGCCAAAAGAGGAACCTGCTGTGCATTCACTGTGCATGGTTGTGAAGCAACAGGATAAGCCAAGTGGCCAGCAGGGGATTAAGGTCATAGGATGTGAGCTAAGAACAGAGCTTACTTATTCTGCATGTGAGTCCAGGAAGAGGTGACCCCAGGCAGAGATTCCTTTGAGACCATACCTCAGGAGCAGTGTTTGCTAGTTGGATCTACATTGGGGATAGACAGGGAGGGGACGTTCCTGGGGCTGAGATTTCCTTGGACTGTCCTGCATGAGCAGCATTCCCTAATGGAAGCTGTGCAATGGACACTCTGACAATGGAGAGTCTGAAGTGGAAAGTATTTGTGTCTCAATGTCCAAAATACAAGGAGTGCAAGAGAGAGACATTCCCAAATTACTGAAATTGTAAATGGCTTTTCAGCAAAAACCAAAAGGGGGGAAAACTGCCTGATCTCAGGGAGAAAGAAGTGAGAGAACAAAAGTTTTGTTGTGTGTAATGCTAGCAATCTGCACCCAGATCAGGGATGGATGCTGCTGACAAATGGACACAGGAGTCAAACCCCCAACCACAGAGGGTATAGGGTAAGTTGTATCAACCTCTAACCAAGCAGCGCTGTAATCATTTATTAATACTGTATGTTAGTCTGGTTGTTGGTATGTTTACTGGATGCATATATGTGTTTAATAGGGGGCTATAAGATAAAACAAACAGGAAGGAGAAACAGTGGTTCAAGATAAGCCACTTCTTAGCAAACACTTGAGGGTTGTTAAGAGACAATACCAGGTAAAGGGCCAAATTCCCTAAAGATCAACAGGACTGTGGCAGATTTTTACAGGAACAGTTTCCAGGGGGGGAAGAGGATGGGGAACCAGACAGGGACACAGGACCCCCAAGGTATAGAATGTCACAGAGACCTTTTGACAACTGTTGTATAGCTTAGGCAAGCCTAACTTCTTCAATCATCCTAGATAGGGTGTCTGAAGAAGTTAGGCTTGTCTAAGGGTACATCTACACTACAGGGGGGAGTCGATTTAAGATACGCAAATTCAGCTACGTGAATAGCGTAGCTGAATTCGGCGTATCGCAGCCGACTTACCCTGTTGTGAGGACGGTGGCAAAATCGACTTCTGCGGCTTCCCGCCGGCGGCTCTTACTACCACCTCCTCTGGTGG